GAAAAAAGACAACAATTACTATACAATTGTGTCTCTAATCATAAATTTATTAAATAAACTTTCATTTAAAAAAAGCACATATAATTTCTCAGATGGGGCAACTTTATTTAATATGAACAAACATGGAAAATTAGCAATTTTACATTTGTGTACTTCTAGAGAGGACAAAAGTTCTGTTCCAGGTCAGTGGTGATGAATCTATGGGACATGGGTCAGAGTCAGCTGTCTGTTATCACTGAAAGCTCTGAAGGTTTGCCATCAAACCTTTGTTTTAGGCAAATTAGCTTTCCCTTCTAGTTTAGTCACTCTGTTTTATAAATGAACAGAGGAAAGGTCAATAATAGTAAGTGATCTCATGTTTCACATCAAGACTTCCAAGAAGACCTGCAAAACTCTGATACTTTTTCGGGTAATTCATATCAGTCCTACCTCAGACTAGGAAAATCCCATACCTTGAGTTTCTTGGTTTCAAGAGCTAAAGAATCTCTCTTACCTCTTGAATAAGTACACACAAAACTAACAGAAGGTACTGCTGCATAAAAATGCAGAAGAACAAACACTGAATTCAGAAATGAAGACTTGAAACAGACTCAGAAGATTGTTGCATGTATTTCCTGAAGACAAAAACTGCTCTAATTTATTTCCTTCTTAAGAAACTGTTCAAAATCCATCTTCCTTACTAATCTAACATATTAAGTACTTCACCAAAAGAAAGAGAAAAGTATCTTTTTTTTTTGAGAAAATTATCTTTAAAACAAGCTGATTGCTATACTTTACCAAACAGCTATAACTAACCTAGAGTTGTGGTGCAAATTTGTAATCCCTACATTCTGCAAGGCTGAGGCAGGAGGATAGCAAATTGGAGCCCAGCCTGGGCAACTCAGAGACCTAATAAGATCTTGTCTCAAAATAAAAAACAGGTTGGGAAATAAGTAGAATAAGTGCTTCCCGGGCAAGCACAAGGGCCTGAGTTCAAGCCCCAGTTCCACCAAAATAAATAAATAAGTAAAAATAAAAAACAGAAAAATTCTGAGGAGCAGCTCAGTACTAATGCTCTGCATTCAATCCCCAGTACTGCCCCACTGGGGAGGAATTTCTCAGGAGAGGGGAGAGCGGAGAGGGGAAACAATTTTCCAAATGTCGCTTTGAGGGTGAATATTTTGATCTATGTACTTAACAAGTAACCACATTCAAGAAAAGCATGCCCAAAATAAGCACTTTTCTATACATAAGAATCAAATACAAATATATCCAAATATAAGTTACATATCTGTATCTAAAATAAAAAAAAAGCAAAAATAACCACCTACCTAGGAATTAAAATAACAAAGACAACTAGAAGTTTTTGCAAAGACATCAAAAAGAACTGGAAAAGACAATGCAATGCTCCTGGATGGCTGGATTCAAAACTGTAAACATTAAGTCAAAGCCCTCATGAAGCCAATACAATACCAAGAAAAACTTCCAGCAGGATTTTTCAATGAACCACACAAGCTGATATTAAGTTCAATGGTAGGACAAAATACTAAAGAGCAACATTTTTTTTAAATAGACAAGAAGAAATGTCCTGCTAAATATGAAGTAGTACTAAACTAATTAATATAGTGTGGAATTGGTATAGAAATAGAGAAGGAAATGAACAGAACAAAACATATGCCTACTTCTGTATAAAGGAAAGTCTAATGATTCCTTTTTTAAATGCTCTATTTGTCTTATTTTTCTCATTGCTGAGACAAAATACCCAACACCTGAAGTTAAAGCAGGCAAAGTTCATTTAACTCACAGTTTGCAGAGGTTTCAGTCCATAATTGGCTGGCTCCAAGTCAGGATGGCCTTGGAGCAAAGTTCACAGCAGTGGAAGACAGCAAAGTAACAGGAGCACAAGTTAAGCCTCTTTCTGTACCTTATGGTATATCCATCTTTCACCTGCTTTTCCCAATTATTTATTCTCCAAAAAATGACAAAACTAATTCTTTTTAAAGATAGCTGAACGTAAAGCATTGTACACTGTGAGATTTATCCCACAAATACAATGGTAGTTCATCAAAGAAAATCAACAGAATGTATCACATTAACAAAATGAAGTAAAAATACATGATCACCCCAACTGACACAGAAAAGGTGTTATGGTTTGTGTATAGGTGTCCCCCCAAAGCCTCATGCAGTCTTGGGGCAGTTTCTGGAGTCTGTGACTGATTACTGTGGGTGTGGATGCTGCACATGCCCTCGGGCAGGTAATCTGCATTTCAATGTAAGGTGGGAAGAGAAGCTAGCTGCCTGAGCAGCTGCTACTGCTCTTGAGCTCTCTCTTGCTCTTTGCCACCACCATGAAAGGTTGCTTTCTGCTATGTGCTGCTCTGTCTTGGAGCCAGCTGAATATGGACTGAAACCTCCAGTAACTGTGAGCTAAATAAACCTTTCCTTCCTTCAATTTGAGTGTCAGGTATTTGTCCCAGCAACGAAAGAAGAGTAACTAAGACAAAAGGTATATAACAAAATCCAATGCTCTTTCATGATCAAAAGAAAACCACTCAGAAAACTAAGAACAAAAGGAAATTTCCTCAACATGACAAACTTATTTAAAAAAAAAAACAAAAACCCACAGCTAATATCATATACTGAAAAACTAAGTCTTCTTAAAATCAGGAGTATGACAAGGATACTTACCTTTATCACTGCTATTTGACATTATAGTGAAAATTCTACCCAGAGGAACTAGACACAAAAAAGAAATAAAAAGCATTTAAATTGGAAAGAAGTAACACTATCTCTATCCACAGACGACATGATCCTATAATATAAAAATCCTAATGAATCCACAAGAAAGCTACTGAATTTAATAAATTCAACAAAGTTGCAGGGTTAAAGACCAACAAAGAAAAATCTGTTTTATACACCAAAAACAAATACTCTGTAAGGAAATTAAAGCAGCAGTTTCATTAAAAACAGCACTTATGAGAAGAAAATACCAAGAAAAAAATTCTACCAAGAAGGAAGAAAACTTGTACACCGCAAACTATAAATTGCTGCTGAAGTAAATTAAAAGCTCTAATAAATGTAAAACTATCCATTTACAGAAAAATTTACCATTGTTAAGAAACGCAAAACTATCCACAGACATAATACACCCATGAAAGCCCAACAGCTATTTCTTAAGTAGAAAGTCAATCTTCACATCAAACAAAATTGTAAGAATCCCACAGGGCCACAAGTGGAATTTACAAATCTGACAAAAGCTGTTTGAAATAACAATTCCTTTCTTAAACCTCTAGTTTCCCCACCATAACAACCTTAGCCACCTCTTGCTAAAATAAGGTGTTGTCTTGATGTCTACTATATATTTAAAAGTAAACTTCTTATCAAACATAAGTCCATTCCTAGCCATACCCAAAAGAATTTTTAAAAGGGGAGTAAAACATGATCAAGGTGTGATATGTGTATGTATTAAACCCCCAAGCTGAATACAGCCACTATGTATTACAGATCTATACTAAAAAAAAAAAAAAGAACTGAAAAAAAAAAAAAAGTCAGATACCTCTTGGAGTGAATAAGTTTGAGAAATAGTGCAACATGTGTAGCTCAGTGGCAAAGCCCAAGCTTCCCTCTAGGTTCAAGGCCCAGCATAAAAAAAAAAAAAAAAAAAAAAAAAATTTTAATTGAAAATAGTAGTGACAGTTGCACAAAATGGTAAGTGTATTTAATGCCACCAACTGCACCCTTAGAACAGTGAAGTTGGAAAATTCTGCTATATTCATTTCAGCACAATTTTTAAAAGATAATTCAGACAACACTTTCTATAGCAATGTCCCTATAGCTTTTTTATCTCCTTCGAAGGAAAAGCAAGCCCTACACAATCCCTCTCCTGCTCTGTCCTATATGACCTTCTTTCTTCTGGTTCTTGCCCTACTCTAGCTTACCAGCCTCTTAGGCTGATCTCTGAATATAATAAACAGTCACTCTCAGGACTATGTACTTTCATTTCCCTTGGATGACCATAAGGTAATCTCTCACTCCTTTCAATTCATAATAAAAATTACCTTCTCAGTGAGACCTCCTCTGACCACCTGTTGTAAACTACAGCTCCCATCTCCTCGAACTCTTCACCCCTCCTCATTATTCTCCATAGGATTTTCATCTCTGACTGACATCTCTGGCACATGTTTGACTTCTTGCCTGTCTCTTTCCACTAAAATGTGAGATCTAAAAGCAAAACGATCTGTTTCATTCACTGTTGGTATTTCTAGTGCCTAGAAACAGTTGAACTAATAACACAGGAAGGACTGGGTATATAGTTCAGTGATAAAGCACTTGCCTAACAGGCAGGAGGCACTAGGTTTAACCCCAGCACCACGAAAGGGGGGGGGGGGGCGCCAGTAGTCAAGATCATAATCTTGACCTGCACTGACCAACCCAACCTCCAACAACTTTTATGTAGTATATAGTCCATGAACATACAAAGCCTAAATTACTCTGATTTTCAGACTCCTTCATTAGTATCCTAAGGACTTTATTACACTTTTCAACTGAGAGTAGTATTTTTACAAATCAAACCTATCCAGAAAACAACAGGCATACAACCAGAAAAAGTCATCAAATATAGAATGATGTGAACTCAAGAAATCTAACACGCCTTGCTAAATGATAGACAGCAGTTTATTTCCCTAGACTTTGTTATGTGAACATGGAGTAGCTGGATTTCGGTAATAACAAAGGCCTTAACAGAAAGATAGCTCCTAGGAGCATTCTATAGACTACTAATCGAAGGAGTGAGCGGTAAACTCACTTTCTCACGAACAGACGCTCCGAGAAGGCCTGCCTGCGATCCGGGAGTCTTTTTCCTTAGGAAGAAGGAGAAAGGGATGGACCCTTTCCCTAAGGAATCTCCCAAATAGAGCCCAGGGCTTCCTCCGCTCACCTGACGCCGCTAAGGGTCAGAAGCTGAGAACGAGGTACCCCCCCAAGGCGGAGCTACGGAAACACGAGGGGGAAGAACACGTTACCTGGGAAGAGCCAGCTCAACCGGTCTTCTCCGTCAGCTGGAGCACTTGTGGAGCGCCACAACACTTGCATTCAGGCTAGGCACTAAATCCACCAACTTTATTCCCGCGCTCAGACTGAGGGCACACGGACGCTCCACCGGAGCACACTATACACCTCAACTCTGCGAGACAGCCCTGCCCCCTCCCCGGTCCCGCCCCCAGCCGACGGAGGACGCGTGCGCAGACGGCGGCTGCTGCTGAGCACTTCGGGAAATGTAGTCTCTTTACAGGTGCCGGTGAGCCGCCAGAGTCCCCGCAGAATCCCCTCAAGTCAAAGCACTACCCCGGGCCCTCATTCCCATCTTCACACCTGTCCAGTCACCTCGCACGCACTCTCCATCCCTACGCGCTGGGCTTCGGTCGGAGAGCGCTCGGAGGTAGAGCGCGAGAGGCGCCTCTTCCCCCAGCCGGCTGCGCTGGGGAGGCGGGGTCCACCGCCCGCCCCCCGCCGTCAGCTCCCCGCCTTCCCCTCCCCCGGCGGGTGTCGGGCCGGTGCCGGAATCTAGGCAGCGGCCGCAGGAGGGGCGGCGGCGGCGGCTGGCGCCGCAGGCGATGCCCCTGCCCCGCGGCTCCGGCGGGGGTCAGTGCGAGCGGCGGCGGCGAGGGAGGAGGCGGGGGAGAAGGCGGGGGGCGGCGGCTGCAGGCAGAGGGGCCGAGAGCTGGCGGCGGCGGCAGTGGTCGCGAAGGGCATCGGCGGCGGCGGTGATGGCAGAGATGATGTGAGTGCCGGCTGGCCGGAGACCCCGGGACTGGCGAGCCCGAGGCGGGCCGTCAGGCGGCTCGCGGGAGCGGGAACGGGAGGCCGGGCGGCGGAGGGATGCTGCGTGCGCGGTGCGGAGCCGGCAGCAACGCCGCCGCCGCCGAGGTCCGGCAGAGGCCGGAGCCTCGCGAGCCCGGCGGGTGAGAGGGTCCCGGGGCCGAGGCGGAGGCGGCGCAGGCCGAGGGGCGTCTGCGATTGTTCTCAACACCCCTCCCCCACCCCGCCCCGTGTGTCTGTTTGTCACTTGCAGCTGAAGATGGAAGGAGCCAGGCGAAGGGGAGGCGGCGGCGGCCGCGGCCGCGGAGGCAAGAATGTAGGGGGCTCTGGCCTAAGCAAGAGTAGACTCTATCCCCAGGCCCAGCACTCCCACTACCCCCAATTCGCCGCCTCAGCCACCCCTAATCAGTCTGGGGGCGCTACCGAAATCCAAGAACTGGCCTCCAAACGAGTGGACATCCAGAAAAAGAGGTTTTACCTAGACGTGAAGCAAAGCTCGCGGGGAAGGTTCCTGAAGATAGCTGAAGTCTGGATAGGGAGAGGCCGGCAAGACAATATCAGAAAGAGTAAACTGACCCTCTCTCTATCTGTGGCCGCAGAGCTGAAGGACTGTCTAGGGGACTTTATCGAGCATTACGCCCACCTGGGCCTGAAAGGCCACAGGCAAGAGCATAGCCACAGCAAAGAGCAAGGCTCCAGGAGGAGGCAGAAGCACTTGGCACCTTCCCCACCAGTCTCAGTGGGGTCCGAAGAGCATCCACACAGTGTCCTCAAAACAGACTATATAGAGAGGGACAATAGGAAATATTACCTAGACCTAAAGGAAAATCAGCGTGGTCGCTTCCTAAGGATTAGACAAACCATGATGCGGGGGACGGGCATGATAGGTTACTTTGGCCACACTTTGGGCCAAGAACAGACTATTGTCCTCCCTGCACAAGGAATGATTGAGTTTCGTGATGCCTTGGTTCAGCTGATTGAAGACTATGGTGAAGGAGACATAGAAGAACGAAGAGGTGGAGACGATGACCCACTTGAACTCCCAGAGGGGACTTCTTTCAGAGTGGACAATAAAAGGTTCTACTTTGATGTGGGCTCTAATAAATATGGAATATTCCTGAAGGTAAGTGAGGTGAGGCCGCCTTACCGTAATACTATTACTGTTCCATTCAAAGCTTGGACAAGGTTTGGGGAGAATTTTATCAAGTATGAAGAAGAGATGAGGAAAATTTGCAACAGCCATAAAGAAAAGAGAATGGATGGCAGAAGGGCCAGTGGTGAAGAACAAGAATGCCTCGACTAGAGTGAAATTGAACTCCATCAGGCAAAATTTAAAATCATAAATTGGCTAAAAGTACTGATCCATAATCATTTGAAGAAGTCCCCCCCCCTTTTTGGCCCTTTGTTATTAGTAATACCTCTAATAGTTTATACTTCAAGAAGTCTGATTTTCATGTTCTGTTATACATAGATCCTTATAATTATTATGGGAATTCCAGCCTTCCCAGTTTAGCTGTTTCAACTGCTCCAGACTATTGAAGTATGCAAATCAGCACAAAATGTGACATTTGACCTTCTGAATACTTTAAGAATTACATTGCACTGTGATTTAATTCTGAAAAAAGATACACACACTCAATGTGGGAGTATGAATTTCTACTTAACAATTTCCCAAATAAGTATTTCATTCCTACTACATGAAAAGCTGCTAAGCATACATGCAGGACAGTTACCAGAGAAACAGAAATTGACCACAAGTATAATATTAATACTATAAAAGTACAAGTAGAAGTATATTGTCCATTGCATAACTGAACACTAAATGGAGTAGGGGTCAAAAGGATGAAATCTTACTAGATAATTAAATTTTAAAGATACATCATCATAATATTTCTTAATGTAGTATTCTATAATTTCATGTTGTGGTAACCTTACAGTCCATAGTTACCATATCAAAGCCATGAGAGAATTTTAGCTGGTTATTCTAAGCTACTTACAATCCCATCTTCACTTCATTTTACTATACTATATATTTTTGTTGACTTTCTAAAGTTTTAGGAATTACTTTTGTGTCACTTTTGAGTGGGATGCTTCATCCAGTGGCTTTGCTATGGGAATCTTGGTGTTTTAGCATTTCATGCTAATTTAAAAATTGTGATAAATTTTTCCCTAAAATATAAAGTGGATTTAAGGTGTTATATTTTACATTTCTTCTTTAACACAGTTTCAGAGGGGTTGGTGCACCAATTAATTGATATAGAAATACATCTGTAATATATTTTAGTAGCACTTTTGCAATTGGTACCCATAAAACAGTATCAGACTTCCAACATAAACCTGACTTTTACAGGTATTTTAATTGCAGAATGAAAAAATTTCTTAAAAGCATTTAGAATACAAATTTTCAGACTGGGAAAAATATTTGAAGATAGTATTGATTGTAAGCATATTCAAAAGGAAAATTCAGGATTTTTCCAAGGTGCTCTTTATACTTAAAGAGGTTTACTTTACATAAGACTTATCCGTTTACCTGTATTAAAAAATTACTTTCCAAAAAGTGCCACATCAACTTTTCAACACCTAAGCAATTTTTTGAACAAGTGGTTATAGTATATATGTGTACCAACCCACACTGTATTAACTGACTGAACTTTCATCTGTTAAGTTATATTTTATTCTGAATGAAATGATTGTCTTTTATCTTGACTTTATTTACCTCCCATACATTAAGAGCATATAATCATGTTTAAGAGCCAGAACACTGATTTCAATGCCCAAATATAGCTCACTGATGAGAGCTGGTTGCACCAATTGGGATCAAAATGTAGCCTTTCTTTGATAGACTATAAGTAATTATTTAAATATCATTTAAATTTTCCCTTCAGAAATTTGTCCCTAGATAATATCCCTTAAAAAAAGATTTGTTATGAAATAAGAAAGTTAATTTCATTGATTTATATTGCTTGAGAACAGGTGATCAGTAACCCAGACATATATACTGGTGTTGGTTTGCAGATTATGTTTCACATTTCCTCAAGTAGTATGAAGGAATCTCAGTTCATTATAATATGGACCATCTGGATCACTATGGAACAACTGAAGGTTAGAAGATAATATTAGTACTAGAGTTAATAGCACATGGTGGGTGTTCAGACTATAAAAGTAGCAAAGATTTTTTTTAACAATCTAACTGTAAAATAACATAACAATGTAGGCTTGCTAAAAGGTAGTTTTTGGTATATGAAGGAGTGATGTGCACTTGAATTACTGTACTACTGATTGTTGTTGCTGCCCATCATAGTGCCTATTAATAATCAACCTGTCAGATTTTAGCAAACTGGAGCTGTGAATATTCCAGTGTTCAATTGTTCCTATCACTGTTGCTATGAGTGTACACTTAAAACCTTCCTTTTTTAAAGTATTTATATCCATTAGTACTATATAGTATCTTTTTTGGCTTTTAGTCTGATCAAATTTGAGTTCGTGTGTGTGTGTGTGTGTGTGTGTGTATGTGCACACACACACACACACAATACTGTATCAGACGAAATTTAAGTCTTCAATTCATTGTATATAATATTGTTAGTTTAATTTTGCATTATTTAAGTAAAAAATTAGTTAAGCAGCCAAATTTTTTACCTTGTATGTATAATCTACAAAGTTTTTACTATCTCAAAGCTACAAAATGAATATACCCCAAATTAAAGCTTCTACCAATCCTTTTGTTTTACCTTTTCATAGTGAAATGTATTCATTGAAAAATATGATACTATGATTTTTGATACTTAAGATTTCCTAGAATTCATTAGCCATAAGTAAGTATGATCCAGTTCAAAGCTCTGGTATTAGGACATGTATTGCCATGTATCTTATAAAATAAGCTACTATTCTTACCTGTGCAATATATATTTTATTTATCACCACTTGTAACATAAATGAAGCTGCAAGTGTACATGATATACTTCAAAAATATCAGGATCCTTGCCTAGAAGACATTAATTTCTCAAGGCAACTGGATGTTAGAAGTAAAAACTGAGCATTGAAGTTAGTAACCAAAATTACTAGTTCACTGTATAATGCTAAAACTGATGATGTTTGCACATAATAATCTAAGCATAATGTGGTACAGATTCAAACTGTAATAATATAAGCTAATAGTATGAAATTTGGAAACGGGTTCTTCATAATAGTTGGCAGTATGCTCCTAGCAATTAAAAGCAGCACTAATCTGTTGCTTATATGCAAAAGATGCAATGTATTATAAAGGTATTAAAGTTCTGCCACATTTTATAATTTTCCTTTTTAAAGCCCCAAACTGCCATGTCCCTTAAACTTGAGTCAAACACAAGCTTATTTGCACTAAAGAGCATGGCCAAAAAGATAAATGACAGGGTGGAAAAGCTAGTTGGAACCTCTTGGAGTAATTGGTTCTAATGAGAGAATTTCACATTTGTCTATTTGAAAGCTATATGGTCCAGGCAGACAATCTGTCAGTTCACTAATTTAATAATGCACTTTACCTTTTGTATATAGGAGATGTACATTTATGTCCCTCAACGGGTGGGATGAGTTTCAGTAACTATGTAGTTAGAATCTATAGGGTGATCTCTTGCATGTATATGTTTGTGTTGGAACTGTTGTTGGTAACAGCTTTCCATTAAATCAGTGAAATGGAGAAGGGTAGAAGATGCATTTGAAACAAATCCCCATGCATTTGACAATGGATTTTAGAGTTCATATTTATATTTTTAAGGATTAGAATAAATCTTAAAAACTATTTCTAATCCAAATGAGTATTGCATTTGACACTATAACTACTTGAGACTCTTCATAGGACTCTGAAAGTTAATTTTGGCAATTTGTCCAGATAAAATAATTTTTAATGATTCTATTTCATTGTTGACATATGTTTAAATAATAAGAAGTACATGATACTGTACTAGAATTAAACATGATTAGCTGATATTTTTAAATATCCAGATTAAAGAAATGAAATTTCAAGTTAAGGAAACTCAATGAGCCTACTAAGTTACTAAAATTAATTAATCATTTCAAAATTTGTGTTAAGTACCAACTAAAAAGGGCATTGGGGGATTTAGTGTATCCTTCCATCCTAAAAAATTCCTGAGATGTACATTTTAAAATTACATAACTGTTATTTAATAATAGGTTGTATGTATTTTACTGAGAAACACTGTGTACTAACAATTCATTGAGAGTGTGCTATATTTACTGCATTCATTTTATATCTATAGATAAGAATACATTATATATAGTCATACTATCTTAATACAATCATGTATTTATATTGTAATTTTGAAAATATTTTCAGTAAAATAAACATTTATCTAAGCTGCATAATTTGAAGAGGATGAAATTAGAGTACACCCTCAGATAATCGTTTTTATAAGCAGCTGCCATTGAAAGCTTATGTATGTATTGTCATTTCTTTAAATTTTGTTTTAGTAATTTTGATATTTGATGACTTAATTTGAATTTTAAGTGGTTTTCTGAAAATAATTTATTCATGTGTAAGGTTTTTTCCTGATTATTTCCAAATGTCCTAAATTAAAACTAGTTATGAAATCCTATTCCAAGCTTTTTTTGAAGGCTTTGCTTAGTCACCACTTAGTTTGAAGTCTGTGTTTACCAAAATACTAAACATCTTCTGCAGGATGTTATAACATTGATTCTAAAACTATAGAACACTGCAAGAGTAATATTTATTATTGCCAAGTATGAATCTTAAAATCTTTCTGAAGTTTCCTTAAAGATTTCTTGACTTTTGTAGAGATATGGTGACTAATGAGTGGCCCATCAGAGGAAGAGAATAAAGATGTTAGCATGCTGGTTAGACAATCCACAGTTCACAATACTGTAGTAATGGAGTACAGGAAAAATGTGTTTCCCAATTAAATGTTATATGAAAATTGGAATTTTAGCTCACAGCAACTGTTATAATATACCCAAATTTATATAGATAGATCTTAGAAAAATGATGTTAGTATATTTTCTTGTATGATGGAAAAAATCAAGGTATGTTCTACTTTGACATAACATTTTAAATTTATTTTAGTAGTGGGGTTTTAATATTGTTGAATAGGGAAAAAATATATAGTACAATATTTAAATACTACACATGGTTAGACAGTGAAAAGTAGCAACCAGTGTTACCAATTCTTGTGTATCCCTCCAGGGTTATCTTACATATACAAACATATATGTATATATGTTTATTATTTTTAAACATAAATGAAAACGTGTACACTTTACCATATCTAATAGTATCAATTTTAGGTCTGGCATTTAAGGTATTTTTTTTTCTTTTTACACACTTAAATATCATACTTAATATAGCTAACATACCATTTAATTTAACTGTATTACACCAAGAGAATAGCAAAGAAATTTTGAATGAATCCCATTGGTATTTACTTAGAGTTTTGTATATGTTGATTTTTCTAATGTATAAATGTTCAGTTGTTCCTACTAATTTCCTTTCACTGTTCTTCGTAATCATTTTACCTTTCTCCATTCCTTGTCTTGAAGTAAGAAAGTTTAAGAGTAACAGCATATTAAATAATTTAACCAAGTGTTACTTTAAATTAACTATGTTCTCTAATGGAAAACATCCATATTCAAAAGCTTTAACAAATTATAACTTGATTTTTATGAATTTTATTACTGTTTCTATCCAAAGACCTTGTTAGTATAAGAACAAAATAATATTAGGACTATAGTAAAAAATTATATTATGACTTTGTTGAAGTGTTTTGATTTATTACATGAAGGTTTTATGATATAAAGAATGTATGCTTTATTTAATAACGTCATCAAATCCAAGTCTACACAAACAGGTAACACTGACCCTAATTGTGGAATGCAGTAATTTCTTATGGAAGAGCCCAGAGTCTCTCAGAAGTTCTTAGGATCAGGAGATACTGTGACGATTGGGGACAGAGTAAAAATCGAGAGGCAAAGAGGTTCAAAGTACCACTAAAACTTTTCCAATTCTCCGCTGGAAGAATATAGTAAAAGAAATGGTAAATATGATTATTTTAAAACAAAGTTAGTATTATTGCTATTTCTGCTAATATGACCAAAAATAATAATTTCCTTCTCTCCCAAAAATCATATTCTTTTTTTTATTCTCATCAAATATACAATGTAAGATCATTTTTCTATTGACTACCAAGAAAA